AGCCCTGCTAATTTGGGGGCAGATACCCTTCTCCCTCTTTGAGTGCGACAACCCTCGTCAGCTGCCAGCACGCCTGGTGCTGCATAGGCCATTCCATTGTTGAAAAACCCAAAATTGCGGGGGTGACACCAGCTACGGAGCCACTTATTAACAGACTGAGCTCGTCTGTTTCTTTCAATGTCATTGCCTGCAATGGGAAGTAGGGATGAAAAAATAACCTGTGCTCCAGATCCCCGTAGTAACCGTCCCAAGGCCCTGATATATCTTTTAATCATTTTTGCGCTTTGATTTGCACATTCGTTGCCCCCCACATGGAACAGAAGCAGCGGGTAGTAGTCCGAGGGCCACACCAGGCTAGGGAGTGTCTTTGTCATGTCCCTAACCCGTGCCCCAGGGAGGCAGCACACTTCCCTAAGAGTGTTGTCTGCCCTACGTTTTGGACCCTCTGCCCCTCTCAGAGCTGAGTCGCCCATGACTATAACTGTCCTTTTCTTGTAGATGTAGCCTTAATATAGTGAGTAGGCCTTTCTGGTCCTGGCGGCTCCTGTGATGTATTAGGACTGTCAGCCTCATTGTCCTTAGGCTCTTCTACCATGCCCAGGCCCTCATCCCTGTTGTACAGTGGTACAAGGGGAGGGGAGGCAGACAAGGAGGGGGTTCGCTTGCTGCCCCTACCACAGACTTGCCTCCATTCACCATTTTCCAGTAGGCCACTGCCTTCCATCCCTTCAGCCCTACAGGGCAAGGAGATGATATCCCTGTAGTCTTTTTTTATTTCCGGTGTCAGTCCCGGTCTCTTTCAAGGAGCTCAAGGCCTGGGCCCACCAGTCTGTTTCTTTCTCACTCTCCCTCATACTCCTTAGTCGCTCAACTTCCTCCCTGAGCTCTGCCCCCAGGCTCAGCAGATCATCCACTTGCTCACACCTCACACAGGCATTATTACCACTACCACCTGCTAGCCGTGCCAGGCTGTGGCACTCCCTGCAGCCTGAGGCCTGAATGCCAGTGTGTTTCCGAGGAAGCGCTGTCTGTGTTGCTGCAAGTGTCTTGCTGGTATACTTCTGGCAGCAGAGCACAGTAGGCTGAAAACATAGGATTTCTTCCCTGCGTTAAAGACAGGTCAGTCATGTTACCTCCAGTCATGCTGCAGCATGGGCTGACGTGTTACGGTCTCAGGAACCACACAGGAAAATGCAGCCTTTTGGATCACATTCAAGATGCATTCTTTGGTGTCACTGAAGGTAGCAGAAGAAAGCTTCTCAATGGCAGCCACTGGTTCTTTAGAGATGAGGGAAGTACGAGTGTTTGCTTGTGTTACCATGACATTTTCTTCTGGGAAACCAGAATCTCTACAGCAAATTAGATAGAGTTTACCGAAACAAATCCTGTTGGTTAAGCTGACTCATTTTTGATGACTTCTCTTGCATCTTTCTGGAAACAGTTAAGTTGCAGGGTGCGTGGCTGGAGTGGAGATGTTTACAAAATCCCTTCCCTTAGCTGCAGAAATGAGTGAAGAAGCCTGCCAGTACTTCAGATCTGGCAAAGTTAATGTACTGCATCCTTATATGGATCAATGTCAAGCCCAGTACCATCATAGAACCAAAAGGAAAAAAAAATCCTTTTTAGGAACCATTTAAAATTACACAAAAAATATACACTATGGCATAAGGATTATTTTGAGAATAGAAATAAACATCATGAAACTAAAGATACAGTTTGAGATGCTGCCAAAATACTGTTCTGCTAGTGCTGTCTGTAGATCAAGGAACATTAATAAATTAATGCAAGAAAGAGTCCTTCTGAAAAATTAACAAGAGCATAAAGGGGTTGTCACAGTTGTAGGAAAAGCTATCCAAAGGCAAAATTAAGAAATCCACTGTTAAAGCGAAGAATGACTGCTTTATGTCTCAATACACTTTCTTTGAAAATGGAGATGTTTGATAGATTATGCCTGTTGTGCAGATGATAAATGACTTGGATTTTTTCTTACAAGTGGTGTAGCAGTCTCTGAGAACAATAGCTTCTGGTGACATTTGATTTATGAAAATCCTAATCCTTGAAAACATAGCTAAAAGCTGCAGATGGCAGCCCTCAACCTCTGAAAACACTCCTGGAGATTTAACTGAGCATTCCAATGAATTTGGCTATCTATCTGTGTCATCATTGTGACGAGAAGCCCTAACTGAGATAAGCTGCTTTAGATACTGCACGCATTGATAGTGAGAGGCAAAGAATTTGCAGCCCAGATAGAGAGAGACAAAGGTGAAAAAATGAGTTTTGTTATTCCTGTTTCACAGAGAGAGGGATGAAAGCACAGGGGAAGTAGGGAGTTGTGGCGCTCTGTTTCTGTGCTAACAGAAGGGATCTTGCTCCCTCTCGTGTGCCAGGTTATCCAGAAGCTAAGGCAGCTGCACTAACATGGAGCTGAATCTCAGCCCAGCTTCTGAATTTGAAACCTGCTATTAGGCCTCCCTTGAGGCCGTCTCTTCTTCAGGCTGAACAAGCTCAGCTCCCTCAGCTCCTCCGCTTACTGCAGATGCACCAGCCCCAAACCTCCTCGCTGACCCTTCTTTGGGCTGCCTCACCTATCGTCCTGGTAATAGGTGGCCCGAAAACTGGACACAATGAAATCTCATTCAGATTCTTTAGATTCAGAAATGCACCACTTTTAGTTAAAGAAATTCCTTCTATTGAAGCATTCTTCAAAAGGTAGGTAAGAACTGCAGTTCTTACTAATTAATCAAAGCTACTTTTTTTTTTTTTAAGGATCATTAAAGACCTCAAAAGAGTTTTATGGTTCATAAGACCAGGGTTTCTAAAGACACAAATTCTTAGTTTTGGAGCAAACTCCAACCTCTAATTCTTGAGGATTCGATGGAAATATTTCCTGGAGATCAGTAATTCTCTAATCATCAACAGCATCACTTTTTTTTTACCTTCTTAGAAAAGCTTTGTTAGTGACCAGATACTGGGCTAGCTGGATGCTCCACTAATTTAGTGTGGCATTTTTTTACTCTCTTAAACATGATGCTTCAACTCCCAACTGTGTAGGATTGCTTCCTATTTTTAATTCACTAGCATTTTTCATGGCACAACCTTAATATGCTATTTCCAACGCTCCTGGCTTCATCTGGGTCAGTATGAGAGAGAACAGGGGAATTTCCTTTGCACCATGCTGAAGGACGATAAATCTTTAACCCTGCTTGTGAACGAAGCAGGGACCAATGCAGTGCTGATATGATTAAGAAGGTCCTTCATCACTCTCACAAGAAAAATGCGAGGCATGCTGAGCGTGAAGAGGTTGCTGCCCTGTGGCTCCCCACCGACAGCGCGCGTGAAACTGGAACAACAGGAGGCCCTTCCAGCCTTCCTGCCAGCAATGTGCGCACAGGGACACATCTATCGATGTATACTATTATATATACAGGCATAACACAAGGGCAGAGCGGTAGGCGTGTGATATCACTGCTGGGTGTTGGGGGCTTTCCCAAGGAATCAAGGCTTCTCCATAGCCAATCCTCTCTGTTCAGGCTCAGTCTGCGTCTGAAATGATAGTACTAAAAACAGGCTGAAGAAAAGGGCAAGTTTATTTTCAGCAGCAGGAACAAAAGGTTTATATTCCTAAATATTGCAAATGACAGGGCTCTGCCAGCAAGGCATTAAAGCAGCCCTGCAGCAGGAGCCAGCTGTCCCCTCAGGAGATGCAGTGGCAACGACATCTAGTGTCAAGAGCTCAAACAGGAGGTTTCAAATCAGATTCTGCTCCACTGGGTCTTTCTGCATGAAACCTACTTCATTTAGTCCTGTTTTCTTCCCAGTGTCACACTTTCGCCTTGCTTTCCACCCCCACCCCCACCTCCCCACCCCCACCCTCTGTAATCATTTTAAAAATAATCCTCCTAAAAGATACTGCATTTGAGGTTGCAACTTCCATAGTACGTGGCAAGGTTCCTACCCTGTGATTTGGTTATATTGCACGAACCTGCACAGATATGCTTGGTACATAGGTCTTAAGTGTTTTTATCCATTTAATCTGTCACAAGCTAGGGAGACAAAACTAAAACTATTTCATCTCTCAGGATTGTTTCTCATGCTCCCAAACACAGAATCATAGAATCACAGAAGGGTGTAGGTTGGAAGGCACCTTGAAGATCATCGAGTTCCAACCCCACTGCCATGGGCAGGGACACTTCCCACTAGACCAGGGTGCTCAAAGCCCCATCCAGCCTGGCCTTGAACACTTTCAGGGATGGAGCTTCCACAACTTCTCTGGGCAACATATACAGTGTCAGGGTTGAGCGCATCCAGGATGAGGAGGGAGAGCTTTGTCTTTACAAGTGGAGAAAGGGATTTTGCAGTGGCAGAACTACCATACCAGATAAGAGTGTGCTGGGAAGCTCTAACCTCTGTAACCTGATATATCTACCTTAAAATGTCTAAACAATAAAGTCTTTCTATTGCAGGCTCAGCAGAAACTTAGTGGTTTTTTGGATCACAGTGGATTCTATGATTCTAGGAACTATTTCCCTTGCACGCCAGGGGAAGAAATGTCTCTGGCACTAGATGTTGTGCTTGCATTATCGTGCCTCTCCCTGCTTCTGTCCTGAAGCTGGGCAGACAGTCCAGACAGATTGATTTGATCTGGTGACATAAAAGTATGTGGATTTCCTGGGAGTTTAAATTTTTAAGGATTATGCCTGAAAAGAGTAAAACAGAAAAACCTTTATTTTAAGTGAAAACAACAATTAGAACACTGTCTTCTTATAGAATATCCTACTGAAAAATACAAGAATTTTAAAAGGTTATGTCAATGCTCAATGAGAAAAAACAAAAAATATCAGCCAGTTATGGTCTAGAGTCTTCTCCCGCAGCTAAATGTGACACAATGAAACAGTGAGTTCAGTGAACTGGGAAGGACACATAAATTCACTTTAAAACGTTCTTGAAGTCTGCAGGACTCTGGGACTCAGGTTTCAGAAGATGGTATCATTAATCCGTGCCTGTCTGCAGGGAGAGTCATTCTTCAGATTCCCTTGTTGGCGATGGGGTGGACACAGCCGAAGAGCTGACATGGTGGTGTCCACAAGTGAGGTCTTCCTCCTTGACATCGTCCTCCTTCTCAGGGCTGGAGCTGTCCTGTGGCAGCGGTCAGAGGCACGCTTCCTTTCCCTGGCCAGCCAGTAGGTCACAGCGAGCAGGATGAGGGCTGCTGCAAGGGTCCAAACCAGGCATTGCTGCCACACAGAGAGGAGAGTGGCTTCCCCTGGTCTCTCTCTCCACTCCATCTCCTGCAGCAGGCGAGTCATCTCCTGCTGCAGAAACTCCTCGCGCTGCTGCATGCGTTGTGCCGTGGCCTTATCTAGCTGGTGGTCATTCTTTAGTCCATGCTGGAGGGCCAGCAGAGCCAGGACTAGGGCAATGGCTGCAGCCATGTCCTGGAGGGAATAAGAGCACAGGGGTGTGAGCAGGGCTGGGTGGGAGGGAGCGCGGGGCTGGGGGAGCGGGGCAGGAGCTGCCTGGAGCTGGGGGCCATCAGGAGAGGGGCTGAGGGAGGTGGGAGGGAGCAGGGGCAGGGTTTGGGGGCACTGAACGGATGGGAGCCATGGGCTGCCCCAGGAAAGCCTTTGGGCACTGCTGTCGATGGGCTTGCAGGGGCTGCAGGCCCTGGCTGGAGACAGCCCGGGGCCCACGGTGGCCAAGGCGCCCCGAAGGCCAGCCCCCTGCTGGGCTGTTCCCCGGGAAAGAGCAAGAGACGCCTGAGCAGAGTCTCTCCAGGCCCCATCCCTGCCACCCAAGAGCGTCCCATGGAGCCATGGGCACCCGGCACACCCCCAAAGCCTCTCTGGGCACCTGCCACCACGGGCAACCCATCTGCCCCATGCCCCATCCAGCCCAGCCTTCCCCCTGTGTGCTGCACTCACCGGTTGCCCAAGGCAAAATGCAGTGGGGTTGCCTGGGGCTGTCCCTGGAGATGGCTCCCATTGTGACCTGTCCTCTGTGCTGCCACAGACACCAGAGCAGCATCACCCAACCGGCAACCGCCAGTCTTTGTCCCCACTGCCCAGCTCAGCTGGTCCTGAGCATCCCATCAAGTCCAATCCTGCCCGGCAGGAGCCAGCTCCCAGGCCCTCTCTTGACACAGCAGGCAGACACCCCTCAAAACTGTGACTGACATGAAAATGGGGTCTGAAGGTGGATCTCCCTGACTTAGGTAGAGAGGTGCAAATTTTTCTGGGCCAGCTGGTCTGATTTCCAGGTTGTCTTGAAAAGGAGAGCTACGAGCCCTTAAGCGGAGACAAAACTCCCCATCTCTCTTCTCCTCTTGGGTTGTTTCTGCTGGGGCAGGGCTTAGCCCTGCAAACCCTGACGATCAAGCCAAATGCAAATTGTGTCTCTGGTGCAAGTGGAAAAGATCCTGGGGCTCCTGTGTCTGGCTATCAACTTGCCCCCTGCAAGGGCAAGTGAGGGGGCTGGAGAGGCCACACCAAGGGCCTGCATCTCTCTGTTCCCTTGAGGCTTCCCCGGTTCAGGAGATCCAGTACATCTGGTGAACATTGCCACTTACACCATACTGGAGCACTCCACTGTGGATCGTGCACCCCAGAAACGTGGCCTGCACCACAGGAGTGCATGCCTGAGACCCAGACACCTCAAAAGCTTTCTTTAGCCTTGCTGCATATGTGCCAAGCCTGACATAGGTGCCATGCTTCTGTTGGTTCTGCATATGCAGATCCGTACATACAATGTGCCTCCTGTCCAAAGCCACCTGGGGGCAAAAAAAGGGAAGGGATGTCTGTAAGTGGAAGCATGCCCTGAAGTCCCTTTCTGTGTTAAGTCTCTCTTGCGGAGGTGGTGGGGCCCTGAGGTCCCAAGGGGAGGGAACACAGAATCATAGAATCATTTAGGTTGGAAAAGACCTTTAAGATCATGAAGTCCAACCGATAACCTAACAGTGCCAAATGCACCACTAAACCATGTCCCGAAGCGTGACATCTACATGTCTTTTAAATACCTCCAGGGATGGTGGCTCAACCACTTCCCTGGGCAACCTGTTCCAGTGCTTGATAACCCTTTCAGTGAAAAGATTTTTCCTAGTATCCAATCTAAACCTCCCTGGCACAACTTGAGGCTGTTTCCTCTCATCCTATCACTTGTTACTTGGGAAAAGAGACTGAACCCCACCTTGCTACAACCTCCTTTGAGGTAGTTGTAGAGAGTGATAAGGTCAGACATCCAGGCAGCCCTCAGAGCTGATACATGGTTTGGGCGAAAGACAGCAAATGTTCTTGAGGAAAGAGAGAAGTTTGTGGTATGGTGCTCAACCCACTCTTTTACATGTTAACTCTCAACATCTTCTTGAACTTGAATTTCAGTTATTAGTTTTTCACCAATGAATCATGAATCTGCACTTGTCCTTGCATTGTGTGTCCAATGCTGTGCTGCAGACCATCCCTGGCATTGCAGTGCATGACTCCTTGGCAGCTCAAGCTTAACACTGGTGACACCGAGCTTCTTATTTCTTGTCCTTAATCCTCTCACTGATGCCTTTCTCCATTGCTGCTGACAACAGCTCCATTCTATCACTCAGGCCCGTAACAGGAAGGACTCCTCCCTCCTCTACATCCTGACTTGGCTATGAATGTCTTTCTACTCCTTTCCTCCATACAATTGAATGCAGATCCTTTGTTGAAAGGTTAACCATACCTCTTGTCCTTCAGGTATCTTTCCTCCCTTGCTAGAACTTCTTTCCTTGCAGCCTTACTGGGAGCTCGCTCTCTCCACTCCCCATCACTCAAAACACAACTCCCCTCTGTGCCTGCCACTGTTCCTCCTTTTTGATCATTTCCACCAGATGGTTTAAATGTCTCATCTTTGTCTTGAAGGCCCTTGTAGCTCCATCTCGTTCAGCAGTCTGATCTTCTTTCTTACCTTGCTGCCCTTGCTCCAGTAATGACTCCAGCCTTTTCTCTGCGTGGTTTTCTTCCTTTATTCCTCCCTGCAGGACTTCTTCCACACTGTATTTTTAGAGCTAGACCTGTCATCAGAGGCTCAAAGCTTTTATAAAGAGTACTATACTTTCATAAAGTATTTTTGGGAAGCTGACAGATGCTGCATAAAACTTCATACAGTTCTTTCACAAGGTGCTAGTACAAAGGCTTGAATCTCCAATTGGAATCTTCCTGTCTTAACCAATGTTTGTCTGTAAGACTGCAAGCTTTTCGAACAAGGATTGTGTCTTTTATGTGCCTAACTGCCATGCCTTGCAAGTAACTTTGTGAGAAATGTTGTAAAATATTGCTATAGATTTTAAGATACAAGCTGTATTTTTTATTATAGCACATATAAAAGCAACCTTTTTTGTAATATTGGGTGACATATCCTGCTGTGTTGAGATGGCAATTGGGAATACAAGTGCAGACATCGGTAACAAATTTCAGAATAGATGTCTTACTGCCCAGTTGTTGCTTTGGCAATATCCTTTAATCCCAGGTTTTGGGATTTTTTTGTTTTGGGTTTTTTTTTTCTGTAAATGTTCCAGAAAAGGAGCTGAGATACCTCTCTCCTTGAAATTCAAAATACCTTTAAATTTGAGTGAAGTCCTCTGATATTTCTTCCCCATTGATTCCGTTGGACCTGCATCTCATAGCGATGATATCTGCTCATTAAGGAAAACATACTGGTCTCATTTGCAGTAAATATCATGAATGCCACAATTTTAACTTATTAAAATATTACCTTTCATAGCTTTGTCTATCAGCTGAATGTGAGATGATACATGCATGGTAGAGCCTGGTAACAATTGAAGTACAATATCCAGTTGTGCTCTGCAGCCTAGAAAAGCATTAATGTTTTCCCCATCTGTTCTCACTTCCATTGTAGCTTTTTGCCTGCCACATTATATTAAAATGCTGACAATTGCAAGCAAAACACAGACTGAATGTTTGTTCCTGTTCTTATCATGCTCAAACAGACTTGCATGTGGTTCTTATTTCACCATCACAAATGGAAATAATACATGCTGATTTAGCTGCAACATTCCCATGTTACTGTGCTTGTACCTGTAATGTACCTAGTAAACCAGCATTTAATGAAAATTGAACTGGATCGAAAGTATTTTATTTATATGTTTCGTTTGGATGAAAATTATTTTATTTATATGTTTTGTTTAGAAACAAATACAAATTTTAGCAACAGCCATGAAAGGCAACATTGTACACAGCTATGGATGGAGAAGAATCTGAATCCAGTATACATATGATATATTGATTATATAAATAAAAGTTTCTAATATTATATTAATGTTATGTCTATTAAAGTAGTATATAATCGATGAAATATTTTCTTTACTGGCTGCTGTAACTTAATTATAAAATCCTGGCTTTCCCAGCCTGGTGAGTTGCATTCCCAGAGCAGTATGTGCTGTTTGCTGGAGGCCAGTCATTAATTGTGAACAATAGGTCTGTCCTTTACAGTGCGTAAAATGTGGAGCGTACGCTCAGTTAAGAGTGTGCATTTTCAGTTCAAAACAATTTTGTGGATCTGGATGTATTTCATAGCTGCACTTTTCTCTAGTTCTGGAGTTGTTTTAGAAACTTTGTATTTCTCACTATAAAAATGCAGGAAGCATTTCTTGGTACTTGGTGTATGCTGTTACTGCTGTGAAAAATCAAACAATCTGCAAAGACAGAGTTAAACTCTGTGTATGAGAGAATATATATGGATTGTGCTTATCATACCAGCCCTGCGTGTCATCATGTTGGCCTGATCAGACAGACAGTGTTACGTGTGGGATTAGAGTGCTGGCTTGTGAGTAAAAGTGGGACAGAAGGACAGAGTCATATAATCAATGCAAACTTATTTATTATACAAACATGCATCTCTCTGCTTGGTCCAGATGGATTTTCCTTATGGACAGGTGATGGTATGGCCTTCCTTTTGGGCAGATGGGTGATCAGGCTCATCTGGTTTTAGAAAAGATGAGAACTGGGTTTGCAATCATGTCCTTCCTTCTTCTTTTGGCTGTTTTTGGCTCTCTGTTCTTACAGAAGTGTGTATGTAGAGGAGCGATGAGTCCCAGCAGTGCTGCCTCACTCCATACTGGTGCCAGCTGGTTCCCGCTGCTGCATGCGAGCTCTCAGGGCCAAGAACAGGCGAGACATCTTAAACACAGCAACACTCTGATGGATTGAGTGTGGAATCACTTTAGCTTAAATAAAAAGTGTTCAAAAGACAGGTCCTGTAGATAGATTCCTTTCTTTCATATACTACATGCTCGCTGCTCATTTTAGACCAAACCAGCCTTTTTAACCTGAAGATATTTTGCTGTTAATGGCAATGTACAGCGTCATTCAGCAATGGAATCATAGAGCAATGTCAGCATGTAATTCAAATCATGGATTATTTTCACTCAGCGTTAATTCTCCTTGAGGTA